TTACGTTTGAGTTTTTATTGTGTTTCCACGATATAGACCATTTTAACATTTCCAATACCAGTAATATATCTGGTATATGATGAATGTTTTTGGTTTGCTCTCATTCTACATCTGTTATAGCCATCTTCTGAGTGTTGCATTTTTAAACTAGTTTTCATCCATCTTTATCACGATAACTCACTTAGCACTGAAATGAGCTCATCAGATATGCATATGCTCATCCATTGCATGCTGTAGCATGGCAGGATTTTGGAAAGGGCTTCCTTTATTTTTGGATTACCCCCACGGTTAATTACAATTTATTTATGATAGGGAACAGTTAACAGAACAGGTACACCATATGGTTAACTTTTACAGACTGATTTGGAATCCTTGGACATTGCTTCAAGGGAAGGGAGTGTACATATCCACCTAGCCAGAGCTGAACTGTTTTATTTCGTCTTTCTGTTTATTTTTTAACTATTTCCTCTTCCCCTGTCTATGACACCTTCCCTTTATGAAGGAGACTTGAAAAGTGATATGTAAATCAAATGGTTTACCTGAAATTATCTAACTACAACATGACTTACTCTCAAATCAAATGCAATTAATTTGTTTTAAATATAAACTCCACTCCTTCTTCGAGAGCCAGCATTTGTTTATGTCCTCTATTGTCCCAGAAGATTGAAAGTTAGCGAATGTTGTGCCCATTCAAAAGAAAGGTAGTAAGGAGGAGTTGGGCAATTATAGGCCAGTAAGCCTTACTTCAGTAGTGGGGAAAGTGATGGAAACCATGTTAAAGGATAGGATTGTTGAACATCTAAAAACACATGGATTTCAAGATCAGAGACAACATGGGTTTACTTCAATGAGATCATGCCAAACTAATCTTATGGATTTCTTTGATTGGGTAACTAAAATAATAGATCAGGGTGGTGCAGTAGACATTGCTTACCTAGATTTCAGTAAGGCTTTTGACACTGTTGCACATAGAAGACTCATCAATAAACTGCAATCTTTAAATGTGGATTCCAATATTGTTGAATGGGTTAGGCAGTGGCTGAGTGACAGGAAACAGAGTTGTATTCAATGGAGTATATTAGAAGCATGGTCTAGTCACCAGTGGGGTACCTCAGGGATCTATACTTGGACCCATTCTCTTTAATATTTTTATTAGTGATATTGCAGAAGGTTTTGATGGTAAGGCATGTCTTTTTTGCTGATGATACTAAGATATGTAACAGAGTTGATGTTCCAAGAGGGATAAGCCAAATGGCAAATGATTTAGGTAAACTAGAAAAATGGTCAGAGTTGTGGCAACTGACATTTAATGTGGATAAGTGCAAGATAATGCATCTTGGACGTAAAAACCCATGGGCAGAGTATAGGATATTTGATACCCTACTAACCTCAACATCTGAGGAAAGGGATTTAGGAGTAATTTTTTCAGATGACTTAAAGGTAGGAAGCAGGGCCGACCTTAGGCCTTTAGACGCCCTGTGCGAAAAATCTTCACAGTGTCTCCCCTCCCCCGTCATCCATGTATGATGTAATGTTTGTGTTTTCTTTGTATGTTATAGGTGTGATGACTGTGTGTGATATGAATGCTATGTGTTGGCTGTGTGTGATATTTGTAATGAGTGTATAAACAGTGTGTGATATGCGTTGGTTGTATGTGATTTTTTTGCTGGGTTTATTGGCTGTGTGTGATGGGTATGTAATTCAGATAAAAACATGCATTTAGGCCTGTGTGTAAATGCAGTTGTATATTTGCAGAGTTATGTGCACACAGTCCCACAGTCAGATGCCCACAGTTATACATATACCCTGTCAAATCCACCTCATGCACATAGTCGCAGGCAGATAGTAACATACACAGGATCAGACAGAAACAAACAGGTAGAGGCAGTAACACACAAACACAGTTACAGGTAGATAAACACACTCACACACAATTACAGACAGACAGCCACACACACGCAGACGGCCACACACACACGCAGACGGCAACACACAGGCAGACGGCCACACACACACAGGCAGACAGCCACACACACACACACACACACATGGTCATGGTCACACACAGGCAGACAGTCATACACACACCCATAGACACACACAGGCAGACAGTCAAACTCAGACACAGACACACACAGGCAGACAGTCATACACACACACACACACACACACACACAGAGACAGTCACATAGACACACACAGGCAGACAGTCAAACACACAGACAGCCACACACACACAGGCAGACAATCACACATAGTTACCTCTATTTATTATGGAGGAGTGGAGGCAGTGCAGCTCCTGGAGACTGGTTGTTGGGGAAGCAGGGACTCCTTCCAGCTTCCTCTGCAGCAGTTATCCGGCACTTTTAGCTCCGCCCGCCGTCTGCTCGCACAACCCTAAGGCCGGCCCTGGTAGGAAGACAGTGTAATAGAGCAGGAGGAAATGCTAGCAGAATGCTTGGTTGTATAGGGAGAGATATTAGGAGTAAAAAGAGGGAAGGGCTCATGCCATTGTACAGAACACTGGTGAGACCTCACTTGGAGTATTGTACACAGTACTGGAGACCGTATCTTCAGAAGGATATTGATACTTTAGAGAGAGTTTAGAAAAGGGCTACTAAGCTGGTTCATGGATTGCAGGATAAAACTTACTTGCTTGGAGGAAAGACGAGACGGGGGGATATAATAGAAACATTTATATAAAGGGAATCAACACAGTAAAGGAGGAGATTATATTTAAAAGAAGAAAAACTACCACAACAAGAGGACATAGTCCTAAATTAGAGGGGCAAAGGTTTACAAATAATATCAGGAAGTATTACTTTACTGAGATAATAGTGGATGCATGGAATATCCTTCCAGCTGAAGTGGTAGAGGTTAACACAGTGAGGGAGTTTAAGCATGCATGGGATATGCATAAGGCTATACTAGGTATAATATAATTCCAGGGACTATTGGGCAGACTAGATGGTCAGAATGGTTCTTACCAGCCGTCACATTCTATGTTTTCTTGTTTCTATTGCTGCTTGCATCTTTTTTGATTAATTACTACCTTTCTTTTAATTTAACTGATCCAGGGGTGCAACAAAACAACGATCAAAGATCTCCATTATTGTCAAATGATATTTGATGCTATATTGCAACAAGATCTTGATATAATATTATACACATATATTTGGGGCCTAATACATTAACCCAACCATTATCTGGAAATCTATTTATAAACAGGGCTATACATAGGACATAAGGTCACGCATTTAGGCTGGAAGTCTAAAGAACTATAATTATGTAGAATTCTCTGCCTGAAGAGGTGGTTTTATGAGAATCTATACAGATGTTGAAACAGAAATGTGATAAATACTTGCAAAAACATAATGTACAATGATATAATTTCTAATTAGGGGAGCAATAGCTGCTTGATCCAAAGGGTTAAGAATGAATTTTTTCCTAGTTTGTTGCAAAATTGGAAGCGCATCAGACTGGGTTTTTTGCCTTTTTTCTGGATCAACAGCAAAAACATATGCGAGGAAGGCTGAACTTGATGGATGCAAGTCTTTTATAAGCTAGTATGTAACTTAACCTTTTACATAACCTTGATATCTACACATATGTTCCCTTTTCTGTCCATCCATTTGAAAAAAAATTAACAAAAAAAATGGGACTGTAGTATGAATTAGGTTGTAATGGTTATTAAAGATATTATTACAACTATAGAACACTGCAAATAAAAATTAGCTTTGTTAATGTGAACATAGGTACACCCTTAAGTCCCCTGAACATTTTAGCTTTCTCAAGTTGTTGACATAACATGGCAAGCACATTGTAGAGTCCAAGCCTTGTTATTTTTCTGACATGGGATAAATTAATTGGAACCAGATTGGGGTGTCCCCATTTTGTTTTACATACTCATAATGAACTGTAAAAAAAATGCATAGTTCCAATGCTTAATTTATAAGAGATAAAATAGTTTTCTACGTTATTCTCTTTTACACTAATACTGTACGTTTAGACACGCCAATGAAATGTCCATTCATAGGCAAGTTTTTCTGTGAAATTAGGGCTGTTAATTACAACATAGATGTCAATGGAGTCGTACCCCAATACACAGGAAAGAGGAAACGATCCAAAAGACGTATTGCAGAGCCTTAAAATGGCCGGACTTAACCTATTAACAAAGCGAGAATCAAGGCCAAGGATGCATAAATACACAAAGTCAAGACAAAGCCCGGTCAGGATACCAGAAAATCCAGAGTCAAATACCAAGAGGGTCAGGATACCAGAAATCACAAGTAAAATATGAAGTAGAGGTCAGGATACCAGAAATCACAAGTCAACACGAAGCCGAGGTCAGGATACCAGAAATCACAAGGTCAATACGAAGCTAAGGTCAAATAAAGAAAATCACTAGGATCACAAAGCGAGGATCTATACAGAAACCATGACAGGGCAATGAATGGGGGCTAAAACAAGACTTAAATAGGCTTATCTATATTCTGATAGGTCCACGTCATCATTGCGACTCAAAATAGATTAGGATCGCAATGATGATGTGGTCACTTTAAGAACAGACGTGACATAATGCCTACTTTCTATTTCTAGATGTCTTGCTGCATGGTTCAGTCAGACCACGTGGCAGGATGAGGTGAGTGCACTTGAGTGTGATGCGCAGTTGGACCATGCGGCAGGAGGGGTGCTGCGCAGTGTGCGGAGAGGTGAGTATCCTTTGGTATGCCATGCGGCCCCGTGGAGCGGTCGGACCGCATGGCAGGAGGAGGTCTACGCAGTTAGAGGGAAGTAAGTACACACTACAATAGCAATAAGGTGAAGCACTTTTATTTTTTATCTCAATATACAGTTGCAAGAAAAAGTATGTGAGCCCTTTGGAATGATATGGATTTCTGCACAAATTGGTCATAAAATGTGATCTGATCATCATCTAAGTCACAACAATAGACAATCACAGTCTGCTTAAACTAATAACACACAAAGAATGAAATGTTGCCATGTTTCTATTGAACACACCATGTAAACATTCACAATGCAGGTGGAAAAAGTATGTGAACCCCTAGACTAATGACATCTCCAAGAGCTAATTGGAGTGAGATGTCAGCCAACTGGAGTCCAATCAATGAGATGAGATTGGAGGTGTTGGTTACAGCTGCCCTGCCCTATAAAAAACACACACCAGTTCTGGGTTTGCTTTTCACAAGAAGCATTGCCTGATGTGAATGATGCCTCGCACAAAAGAGCTCTCAGAAGACCTACGATTAAGAATTGTTGACTTGCATAAAGCTGGAAAGGGTTATAAAAGTATCTCCAAAAGCCTTGCTGTTCATCAGTCCACAGTAAGACAAATTGTCTATAAATGGAGAAAGTTCAGCACTGCTGCTACTCTCCCTAGGAGTGGCCGTCCTGTAAAGATGACTGCAAGAGCACAGAGCAGACTGCTCAATGAGGTGAAGAAGAATCCTAGAGTGTCAGCTAAAGACTTACAAAAGTCACTGACAAATGCTAATATCCCTGTTAGCGAATCTACAATATGTAAAACACTAAACTGGAATGGATTTCATGGGAGGATACTACAGAGGAAGCCACTGCTGTCCAAACAAAACATTGCTGCACGTTTACAGTTTGCACAAGAGCACCTGGATGTTCCACAGCAGTACTGACAAAATATTCTGGGAACAGATGAAACCAAAGTTGAGTTGTTTGGAAGAAACACATAACACTATGTGTGGTGAAAAAAAGGCACAGCACACCAACATCAAAAGCTCATCCCAGCTGTGAAGTATGGTGGTGGGGGCATCATGGTTTGGGGCTGCTTTGCTGCGTCAGGGCCTGGACGGATTGCTATCATCGAAGGAAAAATGAATTCCCAAGTTTATCAAGACATTTTGCAGGAGAACTTAAGGCCATCTGTCTACCAGCTGAAGCTCAACAGAAGATGTGTGTTGCAACAGGACAATGACCCAAAGCATAGAAGTAAATCAACAACAGAATGGCTTAAACAGAAGGAAATACGCCTTTAAAATACACACTTTTGAATCCCGTTGAGTATTCCCCCCTCATTTCCTATACTTGCATTGCCTGCACTTGTAAAATGCCTTTTCGAACATAATTTTAGGTTTTAAAAAGGAAGAAATGTCAGATTTGACAGAATGAGAGCAATTTAATGAAATGTTATGTTAACTATAAGGTTCTTTCTAGCCTGATGCTCTTTAACACAAAGTGACCATGCTTCTTCTGCCTACTGAGGAATGTGATCTTTGTCCTTAATGCTCTAATTCTTATCTGGAATGTTCAGATGAGGTTTTACTCCGATGACAGTTCTAACAATGTCTTAGACGGGGAAATTCCATTTAACAATAAAAGCATATACTATTTGTATAATTAAATGCCTCATGTAAGTTGGGTTTGTTAATGCATCATACATTATAATTTTCTGGATTTTCCATGACCACATAAGAAATCTCTATACTTTTTTCCATCTTATCTGTTATCCATATGTGCAGCATAACATCTGGGCTGAACAGTCGTGTTTTGCCATGAATGATGCCTGTGATTGTGGAAACACTATTATGTAATGGGTGACATGCATGAGACGTTACAAAATTGGCAGAAAAATATGTTTTCCTACACTCTGAATTTAAATAAGAGACCAAAAAGTGTGCTTTTGTGGGTTAAAGTTAATTTTGTTTTAACCCCTTAAGGACCGCGGAAGTACTAGGCATGTCCGACAAAAAAACAGTTCTTAAGGACCTTACGTCCGTGGCAAAGATGAGCCACTCTAAGAGTATTGCAGAGATGCCTCAATGTTGAGGAATCCTGCAATACCGCTCCTGACTGCCGGGCCGTCGAGTGATCGCTCCATAGGAGCGATAAGTTCCGGGTTGCCCCACATTTCGCCCGGCAGTATAGCACAGCATTGAAAGCCATCGGGCAGGCTTCTAATGCTCTGCCTGTATGCTGAGTGCCTTGAGTGGTCGAGGCACTCAGTGAAGACTTAAATAAAATCAATTAAAAAAAAACTAAACAAATGTATTAATCTTCGCCCTCCAGCCATGTGGCTTCCAATATGGTGTTGTCTTTCTAAAGGCAGTGCATCATGAGGCTTGTGGGGGTGTCCCTAGCCTGCCTCATGATAGAGGCAGGCTAGGGTCATCCAATCAGAGCTTGCCCCTATAATAATATTTATTATTACTATGATCCCTATGTGTCTGGTCAGGTCAATATGAGTAAATATTGACTCTGATCAGTGTGGATCTCCCTGTCAGGATCTTACCTGATGTGGAGTCTGACATACAGAGTTATACGCTCACCCTTGCATATATACAGACCAAGATGACCAGGTAAGAAGCCACCTGGGCTGTGAGTCTGTACACGGGGCTGTGCAGGAATATAGCTCCAAGTCTAAGTACAGTCAAGGACAAACAGAAGAGTAGTTGTGGAAAGCCAAAGCCAGAGGTCAGAGAATACGATGAGATAAGCCAAGGTCAGGAGCTGTCTGGAGAACACTGGATCAAGAACAGGAACCAGAGACAATAAACTGACACTGCCCTCAGAGATAGGCATTGTTTTATACCAGAATAATACTGATATGGTTCAGGTGGACAGGACAGGACATTGACAGGAGCAGCCACAGGAAAAGTCCAGCACCCTGTGTTGGAGACAAGACAAGGATAAACATCTGGTTGAAACAAGAACTGGAGTGTGGCTTAGAGGCAAAGCACCAGGCCTAGGACACAGAAGGATCCAGGTTTATATCCCATGTTGGACACTTCTGGGGTGATGAGAACTGTGACACTCCTTCCCTCTCTTCACTTCTGTTTTAGTGAGGGTAAGATTAAAATGAAGACCTCTTTAATTGATCACATCTTTGCCATGGACTTCTTTGTAATTTAGTAATCTCTGGTTTATCTTGTAAGCTCTTTGCTGCTCTGGAAAGAGTTTACATGACACAATAACAGACACATGTTGCTCACAGTAAACATCTCCAAAATTGTTTTGCCCATCACAGGTTATATTGTGTTCTTTAACAAGGTGTGCTTTTACTCTTTATCTAATCAGATAGTTACACCTGGTCTTAATGTATAGAGAGGATAGTAAAAGGGGGGTGAGGGGTTTTGGACTTTCCTGCTGTTATTAGCTAGATCAGCAGTATGGAGGGTGTTTAATTAGGACTTTACTGCTGTTACTAAGCAAACAGCGGTAAGGGGCTAAGATTTAGGAAAGAAGGTATAAAGTTCAAACTTGTAAACAACCAAAAAGCTTACTATGCTAGTACTTAGGAAGTTAGAAACCAGAAGTTTATGCACTAACATATTAAATATCAAAAAACACAAATATACAAACATTCCACCAGTTAGAGAGAGATTTGTGTTTAGGTAGAGAGATTTAGGTTGTTTTAGGTAGGGATTTGTAAAATTGTGAGACCCAAAGGCTCTTTTCAGAGCCATAAACCCTTATCTTGTCAGTGATCACTATAAATCACTGAATCTTCAAAAAAGATGTCTGTTTAAAGAGGGGGCAGAGAAAGGACGCCGTCTTTTACTGTCCTGATTGCTCTGGACAGCCTGGACTCTGCATTGGGAACTGCTTCAAGTGATATCACACACTGGTCCGTTTAAAGTTTTTTTTTATACATTTGCAGTTCATTTTTTTATTTTTTTTGGTTACGTTTACTGTTCCTGAGTTTGTTTTTTTTACTTTTACTGCACCAGACTATTTTTATGATCAAGTTCAACCTATTCATGGGGGCATGAGTGTACTCAGGAGGCCTTGCAGAAAACAACCTGGAGTATTTGCAATAGCCAAAAACAGGATCTCCTAAATCACACACAAATGTGTGTGTAAAAAATAAAATTGAAAAATTACAACCACACATTTTCTCCAATTTTTTTTGGCTGAAACGACTGCATCAAAGGCATCAAAACACTCCATATACAATACCTTGGGCTTGGGGTGTCAACTTTTCAAATATATGCACGTTAATGGCAAGAAAATAAATTTGAATATGTAAAAAGGCCTTCAAAAAGAAGATAGCCACAGAAGATATGTCAAATTTGAAAAACACATGTCAGAAGTTTGGCATTGCACCCCCAAACAACTCAACAAACCTATGCATAGGTGGTATCACTGTACTCAGGAGATGTTGCTGAGCTCATATTGGGGTGTTCTTTTGCAGTAACACATAACAGGAACTGATAATCCATGCCTAAAGTACAATGTGAGAGAAAAATAACAAAAAATGACTACCCAAAGGTTTGACAAAGACTGATGGTAGAATTAGTGCATGAAAAGTGTTAAAATACCACCATTTGAAAAACCCTAAGGTGTCTACTTTTCAAAATTATATGGTTTGAAGGGGTAAATTACATTGGCCGGCTTTAAAAATGTCCCAAATAGGACATGGGTACATGATGACCAGATGTGAAAATTCCAAGTTGGAAAACTGGAATACGCACCCTCCAAATATGGTCTTTTAGCCCACAGAGAACTCGACACACCTGTACATGGTTGGTATCACTGTATTGAGGAGATGCTGCTGAACACATATTGTGGTGTTATTTGGCAGTAACACATAACAGGAGCTGATAATCCATGCCTAAAGTACAATGTGTGTGAAAAATAACACAAAAAAATTACTACCTAAAAGTTTTACAAAGACTGGTGGTAAGATTAGTGCATGGGAAGTGTTCAAATACCAGCATTTAAAATACCCTAGGGTGTCTACCTTTCAAAAATATATGGTTTGATGCGGGTAAATTAGATTGGCCGGCTTTAAAAATGTCCCAAATAGGACATGGGTGCATGATGACCAGATGTGAAAATTTCAAGTTGGAAAACTGGAATACGCACCCTCCAAATAGGTCTTTTAGCCCACAGAGAACTTGACACACCTGTACATGGTTGGTATCACTGTATTCAGGAGATGTTGCTGAACACATATTGTGGTGTTATTTGGCAGTAACACATAACAGGAGCTGATAATCCATGCCTAAAGTACAATATGTGTGAAAAATAACACCAAAAAATTACTACCTAAAGGTTTAACAAAGACTGGTGGTAAGATTAGTGCATGGGAAGTGTTCAAATACCAGCATTTGAAATACCCTAGGGTGTCTACCTTTCAAAAATATATGGTTTGATGCGGGTAAATTACATTGGCCGGCTTCAAAAATGTCCCAAATAGGACATTGGTGCATATGACCAGCTCTGAAAATCCCAAGTTGGAAAACTGGAATGCGCACCCTCCAAATAAGGTCTCTTAGTTCCCAGAGAACCTGGCACACCTATACATGGGTGGTATTACTATATTCAGGAGATGTTGCTGAACACATATTGGGGCATTATTTGGAAGTAACCCTTAAAGTTCTCAGTATATGTATTCTTAAATTGCTATGTGTGTCCAAAAAAATCACCATTTTCTTTTATTTGGCATAGATTGGTGGTAAAATGGTTGCATGAGAAGAGTCAAAATACCCCATGTTTAATACCTTAGGTTGCATTCTTTAAAAAAAATATA